GGAGCCCACTATGCTGCGAGTCTAAAATGGTATTCCCGAAAGTGTGAACAGTGGTACTAGCCCTTGCTTGCTTCTGGGCTTGTCGGTGTTATTGCTGTGATCCAGAAGTGGCCTAGTCAGTAGAAAGAGGCACTTCCGATAGATGAGGTCCTGGGATCGAACCCACCCCCGTGCAGGCGTGTGTTCTGCCAGTCCCCAAGAAGGGGGTTCGCACGTGCTCATCTAGGAATGGATACCCTTACTTGGTTACGAACAATATATAACTTTAACTTTAAAGCTGCGGTCTACATACTAAAGGGTTTTTTTTGGGGGTAATCTAACTGCACACCCTTTGGCGCACGCTGGATCGAGAGCGAAGTATTCTGCCACCCCACTCACCGGTGCGAACCTCTCGAACAGCGTTAGCGATGAGAAACAATTTCGCAGGCGAAGTTTGCTTGGCGGAAGTACACCGCGCCAACGCGGAACATCCTGCGCTCAACACAAACACCCAAGCAGAACAGAAAACGCTATGAAGAGAGAGACTAGTACAACAAAATGCTCTAGCTTGCGGATCCCCGTGCTAGCAGCAGAAGCGCATCAAAAGCGGGCACGCCACCGTGCTCACCGCCGCGAATTTCGCATGTGGCGCATGCTGTCGTGTCAGTTTCACGCAGCCACTGTTATAGCCGCGATTCGGGCTAGCATCGTGTAGCGTACCGTATGTTTAGCGCCAACCCGTGAACATCCAGTTTCTGGCCAGCTGCGCGTCCCGTAGCGTGTCACATGAGGTGCAAGTATGTAGAGCCGCGATTCCCGCTCGCGGCGACTGTTTCCCGCCCCCACGCTATGAGCCGCGTAAGCCCGCGGGAAGCCTCACCCGTTTCCCTCCAATATCGCACCTCCCCTTCCCCCCATATCGCACCGCCGTTTTCCCCCAGGTCGCACCTCCCTATTCCCCCATATCGCACCCCCTTTTCCCCCCGTTCGCACCTCCCTTTTCCCCAAATCGCACCTCCTCCTCCCATGTCCTCCCGTCCCTCACTCCCATCCTCCTATCCCCCCCAACCCCGCTCTCAGCTCCATCTATCTCCTCCCTTCCCTCTCCCGTTCTGTCCCTCATGTCCCCTGCTCCTTCCCCCCAATTCGCCCATGCCCTCATCGCAATCCCTCCTTCCCCTCGTTTCGCCATTTTCGACCCCGTTTCTCCACTACTTTCCCTTGGTTTTCCCCTCTCCCCATCAGCCACCCGCGCCTGCAGCCTCGTCACCGCCACGGAACCGCAATGCGCACGCTTGACGAGGTGCGCGAGGGGCGGCCATTCACGCGCCAGCGCCTTTCGTCATCCCTCCGAACCTCTTCCTCTACACCCTCCAGTAGTGGTGAGTGCATGCGTAGTGAGTGATATGGCAGTAGTCCCGTGGCAGCAGCGTGGGTGCGAGGGGCAGAGGCGTGGCGAGTGCACGTAACAGGAGGGAAGTGCATCGTGCAGTCAACTGCACTCGCACGAATCCGCGCATTTCCTCCACCTCCCTCCAATCTCCTGCTCCTCCGCCCATTCCTTCCTAGCACACCTGACTTGCACACTTCCCTCGTCCCCCCCGTCCCCCTCTCTCCCCCCTGTCCTCCTCCCCCCCCCCCCGGTCATCCTCTCTCCCCCCTGTCCTCCTCCCCCCCCCCCCGGTCATCCTCTCTCCCCCCTGTCCTCCTTCCCCCCCTCGGTCATCCTCTCTCCCCCCTGTCCTCCTTCCCCCCGTCGTCGCAGCTACGCAGCAGCCTGTTCGCCACCATGCGGCATCCTCACCGCGGCAACGCCTGCTCGTCGTGTCGCCATGTGAGCGACCCATTCGGGGAGTAGCAGCCTCGCTGCCACCTCGCCGTATCGCAAACGTCGCAACCTACGCGCCACGTTGCGTCATCGGCTCCATCCGCCGTGTTGCATCCTCCTCACGCTCTCGCCTCCTCGCCAAAGTCGCCTCCGCGCTGCTTCCCATCCTGTCCGTGTCACCTCCCCACTCATCGTCACCTCGCCTCCCCACCCTCTTTCTTGCCCGCCTCCCTCCCCCTGTCCTGTCCCCTTCTCTCCCCCCTGTCCTCCTCTCTCCCCCTGTCCTCCCCTCTCCCCCCTGTCCCATCCCCCCCTCTCCCCCCAGTCCTCCTCTCTCCCCCCTGTCATGGCTCTCAAATTTTCCTCTCCGCTCTCATCCTTTCCTCCCGGCTCTCATCCTTTCCTCCCTGCTCCCATCCCCGCCCCCATCCATTTCATCCCCGCCCCTATCCTTTTATCCCCGCCCCCATCCTTTCCTCCCCGCTCTCGTCCTTACACACGCGGCTCTCATCCTTTCCTTCTCGCTCTCACCCTAAGCCCTCCCTTAGCTCATTCCAGCTCCACCCGTCCCTCTCCCCATTCTTCCCCTCATGTTCCCCGCTCCATCCCCCCTTTTTCCCCCACCATGCCCTCATTCCCATTCCTCCTTCCCCTCATTTCACCCGTTCCTTCCCCATTTCCCCACTGCTTTCTTGAAGATTTCCCCGCTCCCCCCTTCTGCCACCTGCTTCTGCAGCCTCGTCACCGCCACGGAACCGCCATCTGCACGCTTGACGAGGTGCGCCAGATGCGGCCATTTATGCACCATCCCTCCAAACCCTTCCTCGCCGCCCTCCGGTAGTGGTGAGTGCGGGCGTTGTGATTGATTCTGCATTACTCCCATGGCAGCAGCGTGGGTGCGAGACGCAGACGCGTAGCGGGGGCGGGTTTAGGGAGGGAAGTGCATCTTGCACTCAGACGAATCCGCACATTTCTCCACCTCCCTCCAATCCCCTTCTTCTCTGCCCATTCCTTGCGCACCTGGCTTGCACACCTCCCTCATCCTTTCCGGTCCCCCCTTTCCTCTCCCTCCCGTCTCCCTTACCCCCGTCCCCCTACCCCCCGTCTCCCTTCCTCTGTCTCCTCTGTTCCCCATGTCCTCCTCTCTCGCCCCTGTCATCCTCTCCCCCCCCTATTCTCCTCTCTCTACTGTGTCATCCTCTCTCCCTTCTATCATCCTCTCTCTTCCTCTGTCTTCCTCGCTCCCCACTGTCATCCACTCCCCCCTTGTCCTCCTCCCCCCCGGCCTCCTCCCCCCTTGTCTTCCTCTCTCCCCCCTGTCTTCCTCTCTCCCCCCTGTCTTCCTCTCTCCCCCCTGTCATCCTCTCTCCCCCCTTTCATCCTCTCTCCCCCCTGTCTTCCTCTCTCCCCCCTGTCCTCCCCACTACCCTTCACTGTGCCCCTTCCTCTCCATCTCACCTCCCTGCCTCCCCATGTCTCCTGGACTCCTCCATTCGCTTACATTCCTGTATGATCCATGTTTAGTTGTTCTTCAACCTTTCCCCCCCTGTCCACTGAGCTTCAAGGCTCAACTTCACCGGATCAACCCCCCTCCAAACTCAGAGATGGGAGCCCCCGCTTCCAATCACCCTCCTCCCTCACCGTCAGTGGCACCCTCTCTTCCACTAGCTTGCTGCATTGCATGATGCAAGTGGCAAAGGGAGCATGTGCTTTGTTCGTAAAGCGAACGCTTACTTGGTTGTATAACCCTCGACATGGGTGTACTATTAGTAAGTGACACACAGGATATCGAGTTGACATGTGCTATCCAACTGCATGAAAGGCTATGAAATAAGTAGTGTAATGATACTGTACATCAAGCGTTTGTCCCTTGATAGGAGCCATTTCCAGGTTTTGACTTTTGTGAAACGTTGTTTGCAAGCACAGAAGCATTGCCGTGGACCTTGATATCGAACAGGCAGGGCCTTGCCCCACAGCACTCCAATCGCCACCCCATCCCATCCACTTAGGTAGTAAGGAGACCTCTCCAAGTTGCATCGCTATAACGCAGGAAGGGATTGTATGGTAAGCCTCCCCCACGCCACACCATCCGCTGCATATACTCTGCCCCACCTACCCACTCTGCCCCTCCCTCAGCCGCCCCTCGCTCTGCTGGCCCGCCCCCTGCTGCACCACCATCTGCCGCCCCTCCGTTCAAAAGCCCCTCCCTCAGCCCCCTCCATCTCAGCCGGCCCTCCATGTGCTCCTGCAGCCTCTACTGCCCCGCTCACTGCTGCAACTCTCTCTGGTGCCCCACCCTCTCTTACCCCACTCTCTACCGCATCACCGCGCATTCGCCAATATGGAAATGGCAGGGTCTCTAACGAGGTGATTACCATACGAGTCAACGCCCTGCCCCTACGCTAAACATCCATCTCACGGGCTGGGATGGAGATGGTTAACTGCGGATGGGGAGAGTGGGATTATGGGCAAGCCAGCAGCGAGACAACAATGGGCACATGAGGGAAGAAGGGAATTTGCAGGGGGATAGGGAGAGGGAAAACTAGGTTTAGCCCACATATGCATTCTAACCTCGAGGGCAATGAGCGTGTTCAATGAAGGCGAGTGGCAAGGCGCAAAACTGAAGGGTGTATCTCAAACGAGCAGGACGGAACGTAGAACGGAAGCAAGCATAAACCTTTCAAGCCATCCCGCGCCTGCGCGCAAGCACCGCCCTGCCCCATCAAAGGGAGTAAGGCAGTTCGGGGAGCAAAGGCAGAGAAGGGAGTAAGGCAGTTCGGGGAGCAAAGGCAGAGAAGGGAGTAAGGCAGTTCGGGGAGCAAAGGCAGAGAAGGGAGTAAGGCAGTTCGGGGAGAAAAGGCAGAGAAGGGAGTAAGGCAGTTCGGGGAGCAAAGGCAGAGAAGGGAGTAAGGCAGTTCGGGGAGCAAAGGCAGAGAAGGGAGTAAGGCAGTTCGGGGAGCAAAGGCAGAGAAGGGAGTAAGGCAGTTCGGGGAGCAAAGGCAGAGAAGGGAGTAAGGCAGTTCGGGGAGCAAAGGCAGAGAAGGGAGTAAGGCAGTTCGGGGAGCAAAGGCAGAGAAGGGAGTAAGGCAGTTCGGGGAGCAAAGGCAGAGAAGGGAGTAAGGCAGTTCGGGGAGCAAAGGCAGAGAAAGGGGAGGCGGTTAGGGAGCAAAGGGGATGTAGGGAGCCAAGGCAGTTAGGTGAAAGGATACACGAGCAGGGAGACAGGGGAAACGGGAGCAAGGCGGGGAGACGAGTCGTATGAGTGTCGCTTCGCGGATATGGGAGGGGAGATAAGGGAGCAAGGCGGAGATACAAGGGGAGAGAGGGAGCAAGACGGGAGAGAGGGGAGCAAGACGGGAGAGAAGGGAGCAAGACGGGAGAGAAGGGAGCAAGACGGGAGAGAGAAGGGAGCAAGACGGGAGAGAGGGGAGCAAGACGGGAGAGAGGGGAGCAAGACGGGAGAGAGGGGAGCAAGACGGGAGAGAGGGGAGCAAGACGGGAGAGAAGGGAGCAAGACGGGAGAGAAGGGAGCAAGACGGGAGAGAAGGGAGCAAGACGGGAGAGAAGGGAGCAAGACGGGAGAGAAGGGAGCAAGACGGGAGAGAAGGGAGCAAGACGGGAGAGAAGGGAGCAAGACGGGAGAGAAGGGAGCAAGACGGGAGAGAAGGGAGCAAGACGGGAGAGAAGGGAGCAAGACGGGAGAGAAGGGAGCAAGACGGGAGAGAAGGGAGCAAGACGGGAGAGAAGGGAGCAAGACGGGAGAGAAGGGAGCAAGACGGGAGAGAAGGGAGCAAGACGGGAGAGAAGGGAGCAAGACGGGAGAGAAGGGAGCAAGACGGGAGAGAAGGGAGCAAGACGGGAGAGAAGGGAGCAAGACGGGAGAGAAGGGAGCAAGACGGGAGAGAAGGGAGCAAGACGGGAGAGAAGGGAGCAAGACGGGAGAGAAGGGAGCAAGACGGGAGAGAAGGGAGCAAGACGGGAGAGAAGGGAGCAAGACGGGAGAGAAGGGAGCAAGACGGGAGAGAAGGGAGCAAGACGGGAGAGAAGGGAGCAAGACGGGAGAGAAGGGAGCAAGACGGGAGAGAAGGGAGCAAGACGGGAGAGAAGGGAGCAAGACGGGAGAGACGGGAGCAAGACGGGAGAGACGGGAGCAAGACGGGAGAGAGGGAGCAAGACGGGAGAGAAGGGAGCAAGACGGGAGAGAAGGGAGCAAGACGGGAGAGAAGGGAGCAAGACGGGAGAGAAGGGAGCAAGACGGGAGAGAAGGGAGCAAGACGGGAGAGAAGGGAGCAAGACGGGAGAGAAGGGAGCAAGACGGGAGAGAAGGGAGCAAGACGGGAGAGAAGGGAGCAAGACGGGAGAGAAGGGAGCAAGACGGGAGAGAAGGGAGCAAGACGGGAGAGAAGGGAGCAAGACGGGAGAGAAGGGAGCAAGACGGGAGAGAAGGGAGCAAGACGGGAGAGAAGGGAGCAAGACGGGAGAGAAGGGAGCAAGACGGGAGAGAAGGGAGCAAGACGGGAGAGAAGGGAGCAAGAGGGAGAGACGGGAGCAAGACGGGAGAGACGGGAGCAAGACGGGAGAGAGGGGAGCAAGACGGGAGAGAAGGGAGCAAGACGGGAGAGAAGGGAGCAAGACGGGAGAGAAGGGAGCAAGACGGGAGAGAAGGGAGCAAGACGGGAGAGAAGGGAGCAAGACGGGAGAGAAGGGAGCAAGACGGGAGAGAAGGGAGCAAGACGGGAGAGAAGGGAGCAAGACGGGAGAGAAGGGAGCAAGACGGGAGAGAAGGGAGCAAGACGGGAGAGAAGGGAGCAAGACGGGAGAGAAGGGAGCAAGACGGGAGAGAAGGGAGCAAGACGGGAGAGAAGGGAGCAAGACGGGAGAGAAGGGAGCAAGACGGGAGAGAAGGGAGCAAGACGGGAGAGAAGGGAGCAAGACGGGAGAGAAGGGAGCAAGACGGGAGAGAAGGGAGCAAGACGGGAGAGAAGGGAGCAAGACGGGAGAGAAGGGAGCAAGACGGGAGAGAAGGGAGCAAGACGGGAGAGAAGGGAGCAAGACGGGAGAGAAGGGAGCAAGAGGGGAGAGAAGGGAGCAAGACGGGAGAGAAGGGAGCAAGACGGGAGAGAAGGGAGCAAGACGGGAGAGAAGGGAGCAAGACGGGAGAGAAGGGAGCAAGACGGGAGAGAAGGGAGCAAGACGGGAGAGAAGGGAGCAAGACGGGAGAGAAGGGAGCAAGACGGGAGAGAAGGGAGCAAGACGGGAGAGAAGGGAGCAAGACGGGAGAGAAGGGAGCAAGACGGGAGAGAAGGGAGCAAGACGGGAGAGAAGGGAGCAAGAGGGGAGAGACGGGAGCAAGACGGGAGAGACGGGAGCAAGACGGGAGAGAGGGGAGCAAGACGGGAGAGAAGGGAGCAAGACGGGAGAGAAGGGAGCAAGACGGGAGAGAAGGGAGCAAGACGGGAGAGAAGGGAGCAAGACGGGAGAGAAGGGAGCAAGACGGGAGAGAAGGGAGCAAGACGGGAGAGAAGGGAGCAAGACGGGAGAGAAGGGAGCAAGACGGGAGAGAAGGGAGCAAGACGGGAGAGAAGGGAGCAAGACGGGAGAGAAGGGAGCAAGACGGGAGAGAAGGGAGCAAGACGGGAGAGAAGGGAGCAAGACGGGAGAGAAGGGAGCAAGACGGGAGAGAAGGGAGCAAGACGGGAGAGAAGGGAGCAAGACGGGAGAGAAGGGAGCAAGACGGGAGAGAAGGGAGCAAGAGGGGAGAGACGGGAGCAAGACGGGAGAGACGGGAGCAAGACGGGAGAGAGGGGAGCAAGACGGGAGAGAAGGGAGCAAGACGGGAGAGAAGGGAGCAAGACGGGAGAGAAGGGAGCAAGACGGGAGAGAAGGGAGCAAGACGGGAGAGAAGGGAGCAAGACGGGAGAGAAGGGAGCAAGACGGGAGAGAAGGGAGCAAGACGGGAGAGAAGGGAGCAAGACGGGAGAGAAGGGAGCAAGACGGGAGAGAAGGGAGCAAGACGGGAGAGAAGGGAGCAAGACGGGAGAGAAGGGAGCAAGACGGGAGAGAAGGGAGCAAGACGGGAGAGAAGGGAGCAAGACGGGAGAGAAGGGAGCAAGAGGGGAGAGACGGGAGCAAGACGGGAGAGACGGGAGCAAGACGGGAGAGAGGGGAGCAAGACGGGAGAGAAGAGAGCAAGACGGGAGAGAAGGGAGCAAGACGGGAGAGAAGGGAGCAAGACGGGAGAGAAGGGAGCAAGACGGGAGAGAAGGGAGCAAGACGGGAGAGAAGGGAGCAAGACGGGAGAGAAGGGAGCAAGACGGGAGAGAAGGGAGCAAGACGGGAGAGAAGGGAGCAAGACGGGAGAGAAGGGAGCAAGACGGGAGAGAAGGGAGCAAGACGGGAGAGAAGGGAGCAAGACGGGAGAGAAGGGAGCAAGACGGGAGAGAAGGGAGCAAGACGGGAGAGAAGGGAGCAAGACGGGAGAGAAGGGAGCAAGACGGGAGAGAAGGGAGCAAGACGGGAGAGAAGGGAGCAAGAGGGGAGAGACGGGAGCAAGACGGGAGAGACGGGAGCAAGACGGGAGAGAGGGGAGCAAGACGGGAGAGAAGGGAGCAAGACGGGAGAGAAGGGAGCAAGACGGGAGAGAAGGGAGCAAGACGGGAGAGAAGGGAGCAAGACGGGAGAGAAGGGAGCAAGACGGGAGAGAAGGGAGCAAGACGGGAGAGAAGGGAGCAAGACGGGAGAGAAGGGAGCAAGACGGGAGAGAAGGGAGCAAGACGGGAGAGAAGGGAGCAAGACGGGAGAGAAGGGAGCAAGACGGGAGAGAAGGGAGCAAGACGGGAGAGAAGGGAGCAAGACGGGAGAGAAGGGAGCAAGACGGGAGAGAAGGGAGCAAGACGACGAGAAGGGAGCAAGACGGGAGAGAAGGGAGCAAGACGGGAGAGAAGGGAGCAAGACGGGAGAGAAGGGAGCAAGACGGGAGAGAAGGGAGCAAGACGGGAGAGAAGGGAGCAAGACGGGAGAGAAGGGAGCAAGACGACGAGAAGGGAGCAAGACGACGAGAAGGGAGCAAGACGACGAGAAGGGAGCAAGACGACGAGAAGGGAGCAAGACGACGAGAAGGGAGCAAGACGACGAGAAGGGAGCAAGACGACGAGAAGGGAGCAAGACGACGAGAAGGGAGCAAGACGACGAGAAGGGAGCAAGACGACGAGAAGGGAGCAAGACGACGAGAAGGGAGCAAGACGACGAGAAGGGAGCAAGACGACGAGAAGGGAGCAAGACGACGAGAAGGGAGCAAGACGACGAGAAGGGAGCAAGACGGGAGAGAAGGGAGCAAGACGACGAGAAGGGAGCAAGACGACGAGAAGGGAGCAAGACGACGAGAAGGGAGCAAGACGACGAGAAGGGAGCAAGACGACGAGAAGGGAGCAAGACGACGAGAAGGGAGCAAGACGACGAGAAGGGAGCAAGACGACGAGAAGGGAGCAAGACGACGAGAAGGGAGCAAGACGACGAGAAGGGAGCAAGACGGGAGAGAAGGGAGCAAGACGACGAGAAGGGAGCAAGACGACGAGAAGGGAGCAAGACGACGAGAAGGGAGCAAGACGACGAGAAGGGAGCAAGACGACGAGAAGGGAGCAAGACGACGAGAAGGGAGCAAGACGACGAGAAGGGAGCAAGACGACGAGAAGGGAGCAAGACGACGAGAAGGGAGCAAGACGACGAGAAGGGAGCAAGACGACGAGAAGGGAGCAAGACGACGAGAAGGGAGCAAGACGATGAGAAGGGAGCAAGACGACGAGAAGGGAGCAAGACGACGAGAAGGGAGCAAGACGACGAGAAGGGAGCAAGACGACGAGAAGGGAGCAAGACGACGAGAAGGGAGCAAGACGACGAGAAGGGAGCAAGACGACGAGAAGGGAGCAAGACGACGAGAAGGGAGCAAGACGACGAGAAGGGAGCAAGACGACGAGAAGGGAGCAAGACGACGAGAAGGGAGCAAGACGACGAGAAGGGAGCAAGACGACGAGAAGGGAGCAAGACGACGAGAAGGGAGCAAGACGACGAGAAGGGAGCAAGACGACGAGAAGGGAGCAAGACGACGAGAAGGGAGCAAGACGACGAGAAGGGAGCAAGACGACGAGAAGGGAGCAAGACGACGAGAAGGGAGCAAGACGGGAGAGAAGGGAGCAAGACGACGAGAAGGGAGCAAGACGACGAGAAGGGAGCAAGACGGGAGAGAAGGGAGCAAGGGGGAGATAAGTGAGGGGAGAGGATGGAACGAGGCGGGGATATGAGGGGGGGGGTGAAGGGAACAATCCGGAAGTAGGAAAGTGGAGAGAAGGTAGGAAGGCGGAGAAACGAGTGGGGAAAGAAGGGAGCAAGGCAGGGTCACATGGGGGGAGAGAACGGAGCAAGGCGGAGATACGAGAGGGGAGAGAAGGGAACAAGGCAGCGAGACGAGAGGGGATGGATGGGAGCAAGGGGGACATGATGGGAGAGAGAAAGGAGCGTGGCGGATAGGAGAGGGGGGAGAAGGTGGCAAGGCGGAGATATAAGGCGGGAGGGAAGGGAGCAAAGCGGAAATAAGAGAGGGGAGAGAAGGGAGCAAGGCAGGGTCACAAGATGGGTGTGAAGGAAGCAAGGCAGGGTCACGGGAGGGGGGGGGAGGGGGGTGGGGGGAGAGAAGGGAGCAAGGCGGATATATGAGAGGGGAGAGAAGGGAGCAAGGCGGATATATGACAGGGGGGAGGGAGGAGCGAGGCGGAGATATGAGAGGGGAGAGAAGAGAGTAAGGCAGACAAACAGAGGGGATCTCACGGAGGAACTCAGGGTTATGAGAGAGAGCTGCCGCCGCGGCGGCGGAGATATGAGGGGGGAGAGAAGGGAGCAACCCTGTTGGAAAAGACTCGTCGACAAGGCGGAGGGGGGACGGAGTGCGGGGGAACCAAAGCACGACGCATCCACTGGGATGGGAATGGATATGCGAACTACGAGCTGAGGTCAGAAGAATGCAAAACGAGCGAAGTGTGGGAAACGGAGAGCATCCCGCGGATGCATTACGAGCGTCCATGCTTAAAGCAGGGGGCGTGCGTGCGAAAGAGGAGTTCGATGAGCGGGTAGCTGGGAGCGGAGTGCGGGAACCCTAAGCGGGATTCAGGCTGAGGCGAGAGTTGGCCAGTGGAAAAAGAAGCACCTCGACTAACCCCGGTTCAACTGCAGTCGTCTCCGCGTGGTTGCCGTGACCCCAGGCCACTAGCGACGACTGTAGAGCTTCGAGCTGTGGGGGAACAAGCATGGCCAACACGCGAAGAGCAGAGACTTTAAGCGGGTTGTTGTGGGATCGGTTTGAATCCGATCATGAAAGGTGGAATGCGTGGCGTTCGCGGATCCACGCGACGCAAAGCGGAAAAAGTGCTCGTCGCATCAGTCGTACAGGAAACGATTTGCACGCGGGCAGAATGACTGGCATTGTACGAGTCGCTGGCGATGACTGTCATCCGGCCGCCTTTTGGCGCTACCTAGATCGTCGCGGTTTTGAAGGGCTACGATGAGCTCACCGCCTTGTTGCAGATCGGCACCGCGCTCGGCGGGACGGAGCAGGTCGGCGACGATACGAAAGCGACGTGCGCTAGGCGCGGCGGAACTAGCTCGCTGACCGCAGAGAGGACGACGGTATTGGTCGCGGCTATGAGGAGAGGAGCACGCGGCGATACGGCGAGCATGAATCTGGTGACGCTGACAGCGGATCTAAGGCGACGAGGTGAATAGCTCTTAGGTGAGGGAGTGGAACACAGTGGTCTGACTTACGACTTATCCTAGCAGTGACTGTTTGGCGATGCGGCGCTCTGTTAGCCCGCGACGAGTACAGCGCTGAAATCGGAGGTGTGTCCAAGAGAGCTGGTACTCCGAGGCCGATGCGCCCTAAATCGCAATAGCGATTTTGATCCCCGTTCTTCTAGCGGAAGATTTTTTCCCGTGGCGACTCTGGAATCACTGGGCGTCTATCGAGTGTGCATTGTCAACCATCGTGGGGAGACTTTTGGTCTACAAACTGACTTACGGGTCAAGTTCTAAACTGGCGAATGTGTTTCGGAGGTTGGGTTTGCTCACCCCCCACCCCCCTCCCTGCTTCCGCCTCGACTTTCGTTCCTCCGCAAAAGGGTACTTTTGGGGACATTGTTACCCTGTTCTCAAGTGATAAACCTTTGCCTCCCGCTTGAGGTATGTAGTGGGGCATTTGGCCAATCACCTTCAGGCCCACCAACTCCCTTCCTGGTGGGTCGCGAGAGATCAGCAATCGGAACCTGGTTACCCTGTTCTTGACGAAAACAAGTTCAAGAATCTTGAAGTTGAACCCTTGCCATTCTAGACTCGGGGTTTAACCATTCAACATCTTTGATATCGACGGCCGAGAATCCAAACCACAATCTGCTGAAAATGGTTAACGATCAATCGTGGTCGTTCAACTGATCGACGGTTGTCATTCCAACTTGGAACAATGATCTCAGATTCAATCTTCACCGTTCCCAGATCGAGGGTCCAGTTTCCAACCTGGACGAATTTAGCCATGACCTGATTGTAATCGTGTCCGTTGATGAGTATTCGCATCGACGGACATTCTTTCTTCTGCTACCACACTGTTACGATACGAAGTTCAATGAGAAGGCATTCCTGTACGCTGCAGGAGCCGACTCTACCGAGTACGAAGACGAGGAGTCAGAAGAATCGAAGCGACACAGCAACCGCCTGATCGAGACCGATGCAGGCAGAGACATTTGAAATGAAAAGAGCGGGAACAGGTTTGAAACTGACTCCCGCGCCGCACGGTTTGAATTTTGCTGCAATAAGGGAATGTACCCCTTAGAGTACCGTACGATCGGCACAGCCGCACTCGAGCAGTTATTCGCTCGACTGTCAACTATGGAGAAAGAAATCCAAGAACTGTGCAAAGGCGATGCGGGAACCACTGTGAGAGTACGACGGCTTATGCTTGTTATTCATGCTTGCTTTTATTCCCTTACGCTATTTCTAGCTTAGGTTTATTTTATGCATACATAAATTGCTTGATTTCCTAGGTTCGTTGCTTTACTATAGTTATTATAGTTATAGGCACCGAACCAGGTTACGTGTACCGAACTCAAGCTATTCGGTTGCCACCGAATTGCTTTCTACCGAGTTCGGGAAGGTTCTGTTCGGGACGCTTCGCGACCCTCAGAACATTCGCGTAACACCTGGGTTACCTGCCTTGTATAAGCCTCGTGTTGTACCCAGGTGTTCATTCAATTCAATTCAATTCACATTCTCTTTTCTGAGCTCGATCCTAGATCCTTTACTTGGTAATCAGAGCCTGTTTACTCGCGAAGTTTTTTCGACCACTTAAACCTAGCTTTTAAAACCGCGGGGGCGACGACAAGAGGCGCCGATTTCGGGTATGTAAACCAGTTCCGCGCTATTCCTTAACGACCCCCTCGAACCGGTTCTCGAATACTCCTCAGGTTCATTGGCGAAAAAGTTGGAATTTCGACCGTCCGATCGATTCGAATCTCAACGGCCCTGAGAATTTCGCCCAAAAAAGTTGGAATTTGGAGCGTCGGATCGATTCTCTTCTCAACGGCCGGGATCAGACGCGAATTTCGATTCAAGGAGAGTTACGTGGCGTACGGATGTAGCGCTCGTTATTTCTACAGTCGAGTTTGTTCGCAGTAAGTTGACCAGCGCCTAGAATGCAATTTTTTCCGTCGCAAATCTTCCTGTAAATCGCCAAATGGAGGAAAATGGTGAAAATTCCGTACGAAAAATTACGGAGTTACGCACCGACGTGGACCAGATGCGAGCGGCACTCCAGCGAATAGAGGAGCTTCTCGCGAACCAGTCGGCAGCCGCCACGGCAGCAGCGAACGTAGCAGCGAATGCAGCAGCGACGGTAGCAGCAGCAACGGCGACACCGACACTTCACCAAGCAGCAGCCACAGTGAATCTTGAGGCGGCACGTCCGAGGCTACCGGAGACGTTCAATCCGAATGCAAGAGACACCGACGTCCGTCGATTCATTGCTACACTCGAAATGTACTTCGAGGCCGTTGGGTGTACGACCCCGACACATGATGCAATGCGGATTCGGCTCGCAGCGACACTGTTGCGAGGCCCGGCGCTCGAATGGATTTACAACAGTAAGGAGATCCGAGGCGAGGGGTCATGGACGCAGTTTCGGGCAGCTTTAATTCAACGTTTCGAACCGATTAATTCGAGCTACATGGCGCGGCAGCAGATTCATCGGCACAAACAGTACGGCAGTGTAACACAGTACACGCAACAGATGGAGAGCCTCTTCAACCGAATTACCGACCTGACCGAAGGGGAAAAAATCCAAGCGTATACTGAGGGGCTAAAAATGGAAGTCCACCAACAGGTGATTGCCGCGAACTACAGCAACTACCGCGACATGGTGTGTGCAGCAGAGAGATTCGATGCGCTGACGCGAGGTCAACCCGAGACACGACGCCACGTGCCGAACAGATCATTCGACACGAAGCGATCGGCACCACCCACGACCGCCGACCCGATGGATATCGACAAGATCGACGCGAAGCAGTAGCCGACAAAATACGAGGCATGTGAATTTTGCGGCGCAGCAGGACATCGACTCTTGGCGTGTTGGAAAATGAAGAAGGCACGAGCAGAGCTGCAGGGCAACAACAGTGCGGAACCCCCGAAGTCAAACAACGTGGCGACTTCGGAGCGGGCGAAAAAAGGAGGACATGATGGCGCGAATTTAAAACGCCACGACCGGCCGGCACCAGGGGAAATCGCCGAGACAAATGGAGGCTCCGCGAAACAAGACTCTGCACCGACCGGGAAACTCCAGCCGAACACCCACGAAAGTAAGAATTCGTTAAAGTTATCCTACAAAGATACTTTAACTAAGAATATTACTTCTCGTGATTTTCAAGCCTTCAGGGGAGATTTTGAGGCTAAGACGAAGCCCTCAGAAATTATTCAGGTACCTGAGAAGTTGGGCAAACCACTCCGGAGCGTTGAAAAGGGTCGTGCGTTCCAAGGAGTTAATACTCTCTCCCCGCAGCACAGTGTTAAGGCTCCCCATTGCCCACAGGAGAGGCCTACACAGCTGCAACGGCTATGGGGAAGGTTTCATGCCAAGACGAAGCTGAATCAGCCTCGGGTAAAACCTTCTAAACCTGCTCAGTTGAAAACTGATATTGAGACAGCAGCTTCGAGCGCAGGACCTAGGGATGAGATATTCGACTTACCCTATGATCCTATAAGCGAGACCATCTACGGCTACTCGGAGCGGCAACAACCACTACTCCTCGAGGTGATCTGCAATGGGCGACGCCTCCAGGCACTGGTGGACAGCGGTGCATCTCACTCGGTGTGCGACCGCGAGACATTGGAGAAAATCGGAGAGAAGGCGGAGGAGACACAATTCTCTGCAACAATGGTGGACGGCACGAAGCTTCCCATCCACGGCGAAGCATCATTGCAGCTGCAGATACGTTGCCGATCACCAATATCAAGGGACTAGATTTCATCTTGGGGCGAGATTTCCTGAAGCGGTTCAACCCCGAGATAGATTGGGTCAACAGCAAAGTGTGCATCTACAACAACGGGAAGCGGATAGCACTGCGAAGCTGGACGGATACAGGGGACATTCCTGAAACGACACTGGCACGGTTCGAACGGACGGTGAACGAGAGTAACACGGGTTACTTAGCACTGGTCATGGCAGAAGCAGAAAAGGAGAAGCCGAGTTCGGAGCTACCTGCAGCAGTGAAGGAGGTCTTGGAGCAGTACAAGGATATAATGCCAGACGACCTACCTGCCGGTGTACCTCCAGCACGCACCCACGAGCACGAGATCGTGGAAGAACCAGGTGCGAAACCCGTCTCACGTGCACCATACCGACTGAGTCCGACCGAGCTGACAGACATGAAAAAACAGATCGAATATTTACTGGACACACAACTAATCCGCCCATCCACATCTCCCTACGGTGCACCAGTTCTCTTCACCCCAAAGCCAGACGGCAGTCTACGGATGTGCATCGACTACCGCGCACTGAACAAACAGACAGTTAAAAATAAATATGTCGAAGTTAACAGACAGGAATGACTGAACTAACAAGGAAGGCAATACAAATAGTAAACCCTAGAGATCTGTACCCCATATGGTCTAACCCACTGTAGCCTAACAACAACCAACACATATAATGTTTGACACACCCCCATAGGCAAAGTGGGGAGACCTAGGGGTCACAAGACCAGTCAAGGCAAAGCAAGGCAACAACAAGCTCAGGGTGGATCTCAAGGATTCCAAGCACAAGCTAGTGGTCACAAGACCAGTTCACATGCAGGTTTATAACAGAGCAAGAGATACAGTGATCACAACCTAGCAAGAGTAAACATGCAGGTATATATATATAGCAATCACAGTACAAGCAAAGTCAAGAGGTAAGCAAGTGAGGTCCAGTAGGCACAAGGCCTAGTAGAGTGCAGAAGCGCTGATGGTCACGAGGCTGAAGCGCCTTGGTGAACACATCAGCAGTGTTGGCCTCAGTGGCCACGTAGCGAATACAAAGCTGACCGCGCTGCTGCAGCTCTCGAGCAAGGAAGTACCGCAGAACGATGTGCTTCGTTCTGTGCTCCAGTCTGTGCTCCTCACACAAGGCAATGGCAGCCTTGTTGTCGACGTACAGCACTGGAGG